GCTCGAAAACCTTCCCGAATCTTCGCGTTGGTATCCGGGCGCGGGAATTTATCGAAATGTCTGGCTCGTCAAAACCTCGCCGATTCACGTCGCGCATTGGGGAACTCATGTTACTACGCCTGAAATTTCGGCTGAATCGGCAACTGTGAATATAAAAACCGTCATTACGAATGAGTCTTCGGGAAGGGGGAAAATTCAAATTAAAACAAGAATTTATCCCCTTTATTCTAATCTTTTTCGCAACGGCATCATTATATCCAAAAATCCTGTTGCATATACTGAGCAACAGGATTTAGATTTGTCAGCGAAATCCAAATCTACCACAGAATCAACTCTCAAAATTTCAAAACCGATGCTATGGAATATAGGTTCGCCAAATCTTTATGTCGCTGTAACAGAAATTCGGCAAAACGGTAAAATTATTGATTCTTATAACACGAGGTTTGGAATCCGCTCGATAAAATTCGATACCGAAAAAGGTTTTCTTTTGAACGGTGAACGTCTTTATTTGCAAGGCGTTTGCAATCATCACGATCTCGGTGCGTTAGGTTCGGCTATGAATTATCGTGCACTTGAAAGACAACTCGAAATTTTGAAGGAAATGGGCGTGAATGCAATTCGCACTTCGCATAATCCGCCTGCGCCCGAATTGCTCGAACTCGCCGACCAGATGGGATTTGTCGTGATTGATGAAGCCTTTGACGAATGGGCGAGAGGAAAAAGAGTGAACGGCTACAACAAAGTTTTTGCCGATTGGCACGAGAAAGATTGGCGTTCGCAGCTTCGGCGCGACCGCAATCATCCGTCGGTAATTTTATGGTCAACGGGTAACGAAATTTGGGAACAAGGCACACCCGAAGGTCATAAAATTTCAAACGAATTGCGTCAAATCGCACACGAAGAAGACCCGACGCGCCCGACAACTGCCGGAGCAAATGACGTGCGTTCGGGCTACAACGGATTTCAAAAAACCGTTGACGTTTTCGGCTACAATTACAAGCCGAAAGAATATCCGAAATTTCATCGGGAAAATCCGCAGATTCCGCTTTTTTCGAGCGAATCGGCTTCAACGATCAGCTCACGCGGCGAATATTTTTTCCCTGTTTCCGACGATAAAAGTCACGGTCAGATAAATTTTCAAATGAGTTCATACGATCTTTCCGCGCCGCCATGGGCAACGCCGCCGGATTGGGAATTTGAAGGACAAGACAAAGCACCTTTTACGGCAGGCGAATTTGTCTGGACGGGTTTCGATTATCTCGGCGAGCCGACACCATATGACGGAAAATTGAAAAAAATGCCGCTGATAGAAGACTCC